ATTGTTTTTTTTTTCCACAAAGATAAAGCTTTCTTTTGGTGGAATTTAATCACCACTGTTTTTTTTAATATTTTTTTTATTATATAAACTAAAATAGACCAACATTTAAAAGAACACACAAAAAAAACCTAAAAGAACACAAAAGGACTTTTTCTACTCTGGTACCTTTCAAAGGCTTTTTTTTGGTGTGATTTGAGTGTGGGCATGGACACAGGGGCCCCATGATCCCCTATTGCCCGGGGGCCCATGAGTTGTCAGTCCGCCCCTGGTAACGTGTGCCGCTTTTCCTATACTTTACGGCAATTTATTATTGGATAAACAGCCAGATCGCTGTTCCCTGTGATTGGACACAGCCGATCAGCTGACTTCGGCCAAAATCATGGGATGAAATCAGCTACCAAACTTACGCTGTATCCAATCACAGTGCAGGTCAGGTGGGGGGTGGGGACATGTGTATGCGAGCCTCAAAACCTGAAGTTCGGCCTAGCCTGCCCGTAGCGCTCGCTCCGCGGTACAAGTGATTAAACCAATGGGCTGCTTCACCAGGTGAGGGTTTATGTAGACTAAGTATCCATTGACCACAAATGATCCCTCAATATGGGTGAGAAGGTTACTGGAGTATAAAAGACGATACAATCTGGATACAACCGAATTGTCTAATGATCTACTTTGTATCTCTCTATCTCCCGTCTGATCAATGTTTATAAACAATGTTACTTTGTATCTCTCTATCGCCCGTCTGATCGATGTTTATAAACAATGTTACTTTGTATCTCTCTATCTCCCGTCTGATCGATGTTTATAAACAATGTTACTTTGTATCTATCGCCCGTCTGATCGATGTTTATAAACAATGTTACTTTGTATCTCTCTATCTCCCGTCTGATCGATGTTTATAAACAATGTTACTTTGTATCTCTCTATCTCCCGTCTGATCAATGTTTATAAACAATGTTACTTTGTATCTCTCTATCTCCCGTCTGATCGATGTTTATAAACAATGTTACTTTGTGTCTCTATATCTCCCGTCTGATCGATGTTTATAAACAATGTTACTTTGTGTCTCTATATCTCCCGTCTGATCGATGTTTATAAACAATGTTACTTTGTGTCTCTATATCTCCCGTCTGATCGATGTTTATAAACAATGTTACTTTGTATCTATCTCTCGTCTGATCGATGTTTATAAACGATGTTACTTTGTATCTCTCTATCTCCCGTCTGATCGATGTTTATAAAACAATGTTACTTTGTATCTCTCTATCTCCCATCTGATCGATGTTTATAAACAATGTTACTTTGTATCTCTCTATCTCCCATCTGATCGACATTTATAAACAATGTTACTTTGTATCTCTCTATCTCCCGTCTGATCGATGTTTATAAACAATGTTACTTTGTATCTCTCTATCTCCCGTCTGATCGATGTTTATAAACGATGTTACTTTGTATCTCTCTATCTCCCATCTGATCGATGTTTATAAACAATGTTACTTTGTACCTCTCTGTCTCCCATCTGATTGGATGGCACTGATGGACTAACTAGGTGATGGCACTAAAACCTCAGAACCGACACCATAGAACAGAAGGGAACCACGGGACTTTTCAGGAGCTGCCAATAAGTATCCAATTAAAGAGAGAGATATCATCTCCCCCCCCCCCCCTCCCCCGGTACAAATCATTAGTTAAACCTCATCTGGAATATGCAGTTCAGTTTTGGGCTCCAATTCACAAAAATGGGGAACTGGAGAAAGTACAGAGAAGGGCAACCAAACTGATACAAGGCATGGGAGAGCTCAGCTATGAGGAAAGATTAGAGGAACTGAATTTATACTCTCGATACAAAGTAACATTGTTTATAAACATCGATCAGACGGGAAATAGAGAGATACAATGTAACATTGTTTATAAACATCGATCAGACGGGAGATAGAGAGATACAAAGTAACATTGTTTATAAACATCGATCAGACGAGAGATAGAGAGATACAAAGAAACATTGTTTATAAACATCAATCAGACGGGAGATACAAAGTAACATTGTTTATAAACATCGATCAGACGGGAAATAGAGAGATACAAAGTAACATTGTTTATAAACATCGATCAGATGGGAAATAGAGAGATACAATGTAACATTGTTTATAAACATCGATCAGACGGGAGATAGAGAGATACAAAAGTAACATTGTTTATAAACATCGATCAGACGGGAGATAGAGAGATACAAAGTAACATTGTTTATAAACATCGATCAGACGGGAGATAGAGAGATACAAAGTAACATTGTTTATAAACATCGATCAGACGGGAGATAGAGAGATACAAAGAAACATTGTTTATAAACATCGATCAGACGGGAGATACAAAGTAACATTGTTTATAAACATCGATCAGATGGGAAATAGAGAGATACAATGTAACATTGTTTATAAACATCGATCAGACGGGAGATAGAGAGATACAAAGTAACATTGTTTATAAACATCGATCAGACGGGAGATACAAAGTAACATTGTTTATAAACATCGATCAGACGGGAGATACAAAGTAACATTGTTTATAAACATCGATCAGACGGGAGATAGAGATACAAAAAAACTAAAAACAGAAAAGGAATGCAGCTGCCACATCTAATGACTGGTTTGCGGCAAAATATAAAATTTTTGGTTTTGAGTTTAGATCCACTCTGACACACTTCTGCGGTGCGGCATATCGCATGTGATTCGCTCAGGACCCGCACCGCATTCCTGTGCCAATCACATGCGAATTCGGTGCGGTGCGATTGGAGATGTACATTTTGTACGGCTCAGATAGCAACGCATCCGCACCAAAAAGGTGGAGGACCCTTTTTTGGTCCACACTAGAATCGGATCTGTTCCCATCCATGCGATCCGATTCTGCCCATCGCACCGCATTCTGCGGCCTAATTTCGGGGTGCTGTTAACATACACACCCGCAGCGGTTCGCACGAACGGGGTGCGATTCTGATCCGCACAGAAAATGCTGCGAATTCCGCACCGCATCAGTTTGAACCCGAGCTGAGTGATGCGGACTACATAATGAAGGGAAAGAAAGCTGTCAGCACTAGAATCTCACACCTGAGGCCGGCCATATAAATGAACCCCCCATTAATATGCGCCCGCAGATGAATCGCCCCGCTCTCCGAGGAGGCCGC